ATGTGTGTGTGTGTGTGTGTGTGTGTGTACATGGCTCAAATCCCAAGAGGATGAAGAGAAAGAGGAGATAGTATTGCAGCATGGTCATCCTGGGGGGAGGGTGCTTTCTTGCTTTCATTCTCTCTCTCTCTCTCTTTCTCTCTCTCTTCTCTCTCTCTCTCTCTCTCTCTCTCTCTCTCTCTCTCTCCTTCTCTCTCTCTATTTTCTCCTCTCTCTCTGTCTTTCTACTGAGAGTGCATGCATGTTATAGCACATTTTAAAAAAAGAAACAAAAGTAACTACACAGAATCCTCAATATGCATAACTAAAGCTTTCTTCTTAGTCTTCAAGCTAGCTGCTTGAAGCATTAAGTAATGAGTACCTCTACCTTATTTACAGCACACTCTGGATTGTCATTTTTCCCCTTATTTCTCATTTTTAGTTTCTATTGCTAGCTTATTATTTCAAGCAGAAATTATTTTATGAATTCTTTTTATTTTCCAGACACTTCTTTTCCTTCCTCTGCAAACTAAGTATTGAGGTTCCTCAAGCCAGTGCAGTATTGTTCTGTCCTCAGCTCTCTTTCTCACTTTCTCTTGACTCTAACAAGGAGTTCTCCATTTTACTCCTTCTCCTCATATTATCTATACCTAGATATGCAGGGGACTGCACAATTTCCATCTGCAAGTGATCTCATTCTTGAAATAAAGACATGTAATTATAAATCTCAACTAGATAAAGTATATCTCACAGATATTGATTTTTCACTAACTCTACCCAGTAAATGTGTTCAAATATAAATTAGCTAGTTTTGCCCACAAAAGAATGACCAGTGGCACTGTTTCTTCATTGGGTCCCCTCTTAATTAATGATATTATCATCTGTCTTTTCACTGAGGCTTAGGTGGTTCTTTGGAAAGCGAAAGGAAGGAGTCAGTTGATGATTAGAATTTCAATTTCATCTGTGCAGTATCTATCATTTTATCTCTTTTACTCTTCTTATCTCATGATCATTGCCTTTATCTCCTTTA